AGGCTTTATTTTATCAAATCTGACCCCCGCCACAGTTAAATATCAACTCGGGTCATTTACTATTGACACAATATATCATTAGTTTACCTCATTCATATATTGACTATTAAAGTCTATTATAGAGGCATATCATAAATCATAAAACTGTTTCAAATGCTTTTTCAAAATTTAAATGATTTTATTAAATTTTAGTATATGCATTTTCTAAAGTACATCCTGACGATTTTTCAAACATTGTTTTTCAAAACTCTGTTTTTTTTCACCTGGTCAACTATGACCAGCAAGAATTTTTGCTTTGGTAGGTCAAGACAGCAATATTACTGATTTTCAGATGATTTTTATAAAGAAAAATATATTAACTAAGAATCCATTCCATTATTGTTAGAAAATAAATGCATAGAAACATATATTTTTGAAGATATTCTTTTTATAAATTATGAGCAAGCTCAAATAATAAAGTGTTTTTCATTCAAATAGTTTGAAGTACTAGTTTTGCTGTGGTTTTAATTGTTTTATTAATAAAAGCAACTATATATTTAATATATAGTTAATATATAACACGTATACTTATACTTATATAAATATATAACTTGATTTCTTAAGTATATGTATGATATGAATACAACCTCGGCACTTGAGAAGTGTTAAGGTGTGAGGCTGCTTTGGTCGCAATGCCACAAGTCTCTTTGTAAAAATGGATGATAAGATGGAATAATAAGTTTACTAGGACACTTAAAAAGATATGCTATATTTTTGGAATGTTGGGTTGTTGGTAAACTATTTATTTTTTTAGATAAAAATGATTTAAAACTTAAATTCAAAGCATATTCTTATTGTAAAATTTATTTAAAATTCATTTAATGTTAATTTTTAAGGACATTGGGAAGCTTGGAGTTCATGGAGTTTTTGTAGTTCTTCTTGTAATTCGGGATTTACTACAAGGGTGAGATCATGCAACAGTTCAAAATATTTATGTGAAGGAAACAGTACTGAAATATCTATATGTTTTATCAAACCATGTGAAGGTATGCATCTTAAAAATTTTTGTAAAAAAGTTTAATATATAATTATTAGTATACAAATCTAAAAATTAACATATTTATTATTAATAGTTATTTGAACCTTTAGAATAGGGGTCATGGTAAGTCTGTTTGACAACAGGCATCCCATTATTTATTCTTTATATAGTCTTGTTACTTCAATGTTTTTTAATTAACTGTAGAAAAGTATTTATTTGAAAATCTTTGGTGTTAACAACTAAAATAATTTAATACTTTTAATGCAATTAGTACTTGAAAACATCATATAATAAAATCTTTTTAATAAATACTTTTTTACAATGAAAAATGCATTAATTATTAAAAAATAGAAACCAAATATATTTTATAAAAAAAAATTTAAATGAAAGTGTTTTAAATATAAAACTAGGATTTTCAATTAAGTTTAAACAAAAAACATACTTTTTAAAACTCAGAGGATCTGACCTGGGAAGTTCAAATCCTCTGCTTGTTTTTTTTTTTAACTTTTATATTTTTTTAAATGCAAAACAAAACAGTTCTATAATTTTATGGATATTTTATGTACACATTGTATTTTCCATAAATGAACTCAACTTTGCATCTAAACGCTTCCAAAAAGACCTGCTTCCAAAAAAAAATGAACTCAACTTTGTTGTAAAATACTTGAAAAGTATACCTAGAGCCTTTAGAATTACTTTTTACATTTACATGTTTTTAAATATACATTAGTTAGATATAGCCACATTTTCTAATAGAAAAAGTATTGAACAACTTTTTTTGCCATTAACTTGATTTTAATGGCTGCCATAACTTCTGTATCAAACATGCACAAATTGATAATTTGAGCCTTAAATTGAATATTAATTTTAATAAATAGATATGAAATACAAGTTTGTGTTTCCCTTTTGAAAAGTTTTATAGTATGAAAATTTTATTTAAAGTTTAATGTTGCAATGACTTGTAGTATGCATGTATGCCAGTTATACAGGTATGTCGCCTAATTGAAGACATTTGGGCTATTTTGAGCAGCAGTATATGAAGATAACTGACAAATATAAGTGAAATAACTATAAACCAGAATAAAAATTTTTCTTAATCTTGAAAAATTGACCTTAATCTTGTGTTTTTATTTTTTTGAGTCAACTTGTCTTAGAAAAGGCCGAGTTTGAACAAATAGACTGGGTGAAGACAAACTTAAATAAAACAAATAAATGTCCTAAAACTCTATTTTATAATATTTTAGTCAGTCTCTACCTTTAAGGTAAGTTCAGATTTTTAGTAATCACTCTAAAGATTGTCAAACAAATTATAAGTTTTCTTAATAGTTTTTATTACAAACAACAGCATTACCTTATACACTGTATGAGCCAATTTTGTAAATTTTGGGATAAGTAATAATATTATGTCTGCACTTCTTATGAAGGTGTTATTTTTTTATTACATTGCTATGGATACCTAATTTTTGATAGTTAAAACCTAGTTTTGGTATTTGCAGATATTTTTACAAGTTCTATGTTCACCAATTTTCACATAAGTTCCAATATGAGGTCGCACTTTTTAAAAAAGTGAATATATATTTTATTTAGTTGTTATGAATATCTAATTTTGCATAGCAACAATAAAAATAATAGTAAATAAAAATTTATCATCTTGCGATTTTGTTCGCTTGTGATTGTTTTGACAATTTCTCATAACAAACAAAAAGCAAAAATAATTACTTAATTTAAAAAAAATAAAAAAAATAAAAAACTGTTAGCTGAAAAATAGTGTTAATTTGTTTTAATACTAGTTTTTTTTTTTGTTTTCTTAGAATGATTGATTTTATCAAAAAAATGAAAAAACAATACTACAATCTTTAAACGAGTTTATTATTTTTATATTTGAAAAAAAAAACACTTCTTTTTAGGAGTCAACTCTATTATTAATTTTTTGTTTGAATTATTTTCTGGAAAAAAGTTGAGATGCTAGTCGAATAAATGAATATTCAGAGACATTTTGCAGCCAAGATGATTGTACGTATTAATGTATTTTTGCACAACATTCATGTAGTCAGCATATTTCCTATTTTCAAGGAAATTGGTTACAACTGACTTGAGAGCCACCCGTGCATCTTTTTCAATAACACTTAAATTTTCATGAAAGTGTTCATCAGCCATAATATTTTTAAATGGAGGACCAATGAACACACCTCCTTTTACTTTTGCATAACTTAACACTAGGAATTTTTTGTGCAGGTGCTAAAATGTAGCAGAGACGCTGTCTAATTTCTTGACAAAATTTTTCATAAGTCCTAACTTAATATGTAGCTGTAGCATGATTATCATCATTGGAGAACATTTTTATTTCCCGGCTGTCTCTATTTGGCCTATTCTTTTTTTTTGTAGTGTTGCTTCTTATCTCTGGTGTCCCATTTGCATATGAAGCAGCAGTACTTTGTGTATCCTAACTACATTCCCATTAGAATAGCTATTATTTTTAAGTCACCGCAAATACTACAGTTGTACTTGCAGTAACATATTTTTTCATACACCTCTTTTATGTGGGCAGAATATACAACTGATATGAGGAGGCTACTTTTTTGTGGTTATAACCCTCTCTCAACTCTATTTCTCTGAAACACAAACCTCAACAAACAAGGTTGCTGCGTGGAGAAACAAGTTGAGCACAGTACTACTAGGGGCGTGGTGGGGATTGAACTTAGAACCTCTCACTTATGAAGCAACCACTCTACCACTACACCACTACCACATATATGGCAGATAAAAGAAAACTTGAAAATAACATTAAAATTAACCTGGTCATTAACTAAACAAGTCCCCGCCTACAGCAACATAACAAAAAAAAATGCTTGCTTTGCCTTCATTAAAAATTTTTGCATAATATCATACAAAGATACACAAGAAATATTAATTAAAAAAAAAAACAGAAATAATATCTTTGTGTCATCACGAAAACAAAGTCTTGCTTGACAACCACAAGCTAAAAGATTAAAAAAAAATAAGCTTGCAAATAGTAGCTGTTTTGTAATTGTTTTTTAGCGTCACGATATTTATTAAGAGTATATTTTTTAACAAAAAAACAATGTCTTTTTTATCTGATGATTGCTAAACGCGTGAAAATTTATTAGTAAAATTTATAGAGTTATTTTTATTTAATCTCCTCAAAAAACCAACTATATAGGTCTGATATCATTCATGTTAATACTTTTCTCAATAATGCTCTCAAAAAATCAGTGAGAGCTATTGCAGATTTTACAAAATCTTATTAATAATATTGAACTTAAAAGAACACTTTCGAGCCTGTTTTACAGGGAACTCTTTGCAGCCATTGCTACCAAGGTAGGGGCAAGAAAAAGTTGCAGCACTTTTTTTTATAAAAAAACATGAATGAAGTGTATGCAAATATCTAACGTTTGTAAACTATAAATTAAGTAATGTTAAAACACACTGAAGCATTTATAAGTTTTACAGTTTGATTTTCACTTGAAAATTGCATTGCATCAAGCTCTCTTTAATTTTGATCTAAAATATTTTTTTCAGTTAAAAAAAATTCATTACATAGCTTTAAAAATCTTTGCTTAACAAAGTGCCAGTTTGGCTAAATGGATAGCGCACTGAGCTTCTGAACATGTATGTCCTGGTTGAATCCCTATCATTAGCGACTTTTTTTTCAACTTTTTCAAGTTTTGAAATACAAAATAATTTTGAAGTTTTATAGACATTATATACAAACGTATGTAACAATATTATACACTTTTAAAAACAAAAAGATTTTAAGAAAGCTAAAATTTCATAAAACATCAAAAAAAACATCACCAGGAGAAAAATATTGTTGCGTATGTGTCATAATTGAGATTATTATTGTGCTCAGGTAATTAGTCCTAATAAACTGCGGATGGATTGAAAAAAAGGATGTCTGAAACTAAATGAAGAAAAAACTTAATAAGAAAGTCCTGCTACTCAAGAAGGTGCTGCTGTGGAGGCAAAAAAAAAAAAAAAATCCCTGTAACTAGATAAAACTTTAAAACTTTCTTTAGACAATTATAAGTTTATTTTGGTACATTTACTTTTTTACTATAAATATATGCTGCAACTGTTTTTCACAACGCCTTAAAATGATTATGTATTTCAAAAAAAAAAACACAATTAAAAATAAATTGTTAGGAGAAACTCTTTGTAAAATGTTTTTTAAAACAAATAATTTTTATGAATTTTTTCAGAACTCTTTAAAAATATGTATTCAATAACGTTTGTAAACATCTAAGCTAGCTTAGTTGTTAAAAGGTCAAAATTAATTTTTATTAATTGTTATTACAAGTCTTTTTTGCTAAAGCAGTTATGTTTTGATTACTTGTAGGTATGGGTGTTATATTTTAAAAAATTTACAAGATTAAAAAGTAAAAAACATATTGTAAAAAATTTAAAACTTCAATTTTAGATTTGCTCCTCTCTTGATAGTTTCTGATTACTAAAATTATCATTTGACTCTTAGACCATTAAAAATGATAGTCAAGTCTTTTACATAAATCGTTAAAGCTACAATTTTTTTGCGTTAGTGACGTCACTTTGTGGCAAAAAACTAGAAAAACAAACTAGAAAAAATGTTTTACTTAAATTTTTTTAAGAAAATTCTTCTATTAAAGATATATGGAATATATTTTTAAGAAATATATTCTAAAAAAGGCAAAAACTATTTACTTATTACTATTGTAATAAATGCAATCTCTTATCCATGAAATGATATATCTGTACCAGTTTTATATATTTTTATGCATTTGTATGCAATAAATCAAAATTAATCAAAAAATGTAAGATAAATGCAAAATAAACTTGATGCATAAAGGTTTTTTTTGCCACAAACTAACGTCAATGCACAAAATATTTTTTGCTTAACTTTCAGATTAGTCTTTAATATTATTTTATGGATTAATCCCATGTAATATATCTATAAAATGATAAAACTTTAAAATTTTGTTTTAAATTTTAGAAATCTTGCTACATTATTATCTTTTTGCTATGAATATATAAGCAAGATTAAAAAAATTTCAAAATTTAATAAGCAAAGAGGAGGTCTTGCACCCCTCAAAACATTACTGATGACAGCATACTTAACCACTGAGCTATCAATGAAATGCATTTAGCAGAAAAACAAACCTAATTATAAGTCTCTTATAAGCTCTATGTACGCAGAAAAGGTGCGCATGTTAATTTTTTTGCTCTTAAAGTTTTTTTTCAGAATAAAATTATTTTACTAAAAAAGTATTAAAGTAAATAAGAAATAGGTATAGAAATAATCGGTGTGGAATAGGTATGTATAGAAATGGTAGGTTTGGTAAAGACCCGTATTTTATGGATCCGGAAAACTAGGATATATAAAGAAAAAGTATAAAAAGGTTTGGTGTGGAATAGACTTACAAAGACCCGTTATTTTTATGGGTCTGATCTTAGCTTGTATCAAATAAAAGTAGATTTGAAAATTCAATTTCAGTTTTTTTTCTACTGAAAAAACGTTTCCATTGTTAAAATCATTGGAGTTTTTTGTAATTACTCTACCATAATGCAATATTATGAATAGATAGTTCCTGTAAATAGTCAACTGTGCCATATTTGATTTACCTGGACATGATTTTTCAACGTACCATAAACTAAGCAGTATTAAGGAAGATAATAATTTGAATCAGCTTGCAGTTACATTGATCTTTAGGTATTTAATAACATTAACCTTTAAAGTAATAACATAAAAAGTACTCATGTGAGAAATAGCAGTTTTTTAATGGTGCATCAAACAAGTAAAAGCCTAGCATCAAAAATTAGTGGAATTTGTTGGCCCCATTGGCTGAAAGATTGTTAAAATAGAAACTATGCATTAAAATGCACTCTTGGACATTTTATAAAAATATTTTTAAGTTTACTTTATAGTTTTAAATGATTTGAAGTGTTAAAGTCATTCTAATGCTTTTTTTAGTATTTGATTGAATTTTATAAAATGTCATCAACATGAACTTTTACTTCTGGCTACTTTATCATATTTTAACTAAAAAAAAAACTGTAAATGTGTTGTAAAGGTGCCAAAATATAAAAAATAAAAATTGAAAAAAAATTTAGCTGTAATGTTGGATTCATTTAGAAATCAATACTATCACTGACTTATTAAGTATTTTTGAAATCTTAGGTGCATTAATATTATATTTTTGGAAATATTAAAATATTGTGTTAAATTGTGAGTTTAAATTGTGAATAATATATGTGAAATGAAACAATTAACATTAAAAATTGATTTTTAAAATATATTTTTATTAAAAAAGACAAAACACAACTTGAGTTGGTTACTTTTTTTAATGTTTTACTAACTCTAATCATCTTTAAGATTTTATCCTTTTTGTGCCCTAATGTTTATATTTTTATTGATTTTTCAAATTTTTTTTTTAGTATTTTTTAAATAAAAATAAAAAAAATCTAGATGCTTGATTTGTTATCCATAATGATTTTGATAAAGTAAATATTTTTAAAAAATTGAATTTTTTAACATCTGAAATATTATATTTATCAACCAATATAAAATTAGCTAAAAATGTAGCATCATATTATATAATTGTTTATTAATCACCTGCTGTATTTAATACAAGGTAAACTATTATAAAGTTACATTTTTGAAATATTCATAAACTTATTGAGAAATTGGGGTATGTGGGGGAGCTTTTTTTGTAGTAGAACTATGAATAGAACCAGAGCAGATACCAGTAATGATTATTTATATCGAAGCCATGCAAGAAGTAAAAATTTCTGAATTGCCTTTAAAAATAAGGTTTAATGTGATTCCCTAGAAAACTCTTTGAAGATTTGATTATACTTATATGGTAGTGCAGCTTTTTATTAGAAGGGTGTTAGACCTTTATCCAAAATTTTTATTTTAAAAAAACCTATTTGTTATCGCAAAAAACCCTGAAAACATCTTTTAAAAATGTTTTATAGAGATTGCTAAATATAGGAATTGCTAAATATAGAGATTGCTAAATATAGAGATTGCTAAATATAGAGATTGCTAAATATAGAGATTGCTAAATATAGATATTGCTAAATATAGAGATTGCTAAATATAGAGATTGCTAAATATAGAGATTGCTAAATATAGAGATTGTTAAATATAGAGATTGCTAAATATAGGAATTGCTAAATATAGAGATTGCTAAATATAAAGATTGCTAAATATAGAGATTGCTAAATATAGAGATTGCTAAATATAGAGATTGCTAAATATAGGGATTGCTAAATATAGTGATTGCTAAATATAGGGATTGCTAAATATAGAGATTGCTAAATATAGAGATTGCTAAATATTGAGATTGCTAAATATAGAGATTGCTAAATATAGAGATTGCTAAATATAGAGATTGCTAAATATACAGATTGCTAAATATACAGATTGCTAAATATAGGGATTGCTAAATATAGAGATTGCCGAATATAGGGATTGCTAAATAAACCATTTAGAGGTTCAAATACAAGCATATTTTAAAAAATATACTAAAATTTGAAACTTCATAATTTTGTCTCGGACACATATTTGAAATCTAAAGGTAGTAAATAAAATATTTGTATATTTTATTTCTACCTCTATTTATTTTAATCATTTTTTGAAATTTGACTCCAGTATGAAATAAAAAACAAAAAATTATGGCACAAAAGATATTTTTTATTTATTGAACAATCCTAGTTTTTATTGCTAAACATTTTAAAAAAATATATATCTTGGAAAAAAATGGTTGATTTAATAGAATATCTGCTTTCTGAAATAAAAAAATACTATGAAGGTATTTTATACTTAATAAATGAAGTAATGAAACTTTTATTTGATTATTCATGTTTTAATGTCTGAGTTTTCACAGGAGCTTGGCAAAACTGGAATGAATGGTCTAGTTGTAATGCAACATGTGGTGAAGGTTTTTTTAAGAGAACTCGTGTTTGTAATGATGTTTACGAGTGCCCTGGGAATAAAGTAGAATATTTTAAATGTTACAGTAATAAAACATGTCCAGGTATAGTTTTCTTTTTTTTTAATGTTAGATTTTGTTTATAGCACTATAAAAAACTTTTTTATTATTTTGGATTTTCATAGGAGCTTGGCAAGAATGGAATGAATGGTCAAGTTGTAATACGACCTGTGGTCAAGGATTTGTTATCAGAACTCGAGTATGTAGTGATATTTTTGTGTGTCCTGGGAACAAAGTTGAATATTTAAAATGTTACAGTAATAAAACATGTCAAGGTAAGGTTTTTTGTTTTTTGATATCAATTTTTATATATAGTTTTTATTAATTTTTTATCTATATTTTTTGATTTTCAAAGGAGCTTGGCAAGAATGGAATGAATGGTCTAGTTGCAATACAACATGTGGTGAAGGCTTTGTTAACAGAACTCGAGCATGTCAACATAAATTTGTGTGCCCTGGAAATAAAATTGAATATTTAAAATGTTATAGTAATAAAACATGTCAAGGTATAGCTCTTTGTTTTTAGGATCAATTTTTATATAAAGTTATTAAGTTTTGTTTATGTTTTCTCTAATATTAATGGGTTTTTATAGGAGCATGGCAAGAATGGAATGAATGGTCTTGTTGCAATTCAACCTGTGGTGAAGGTTATGTTAACAGAACTCGAGTATGTAGCAATATTTTTGCGTGTCCTGGAAATAAAATTGAATATTTAAAATGTTACAGTAATAAAACATGTCAAGGTATGGATTTTCAATGCAAATTTTTATATATAGTTTTATAGTTTTGTTAATATAACTCTAATAATTTTTGGTTTTCATAGGAGTTTGGCAAGAATGGAATGAATGGACAAGTTGCAATTCAACCTGTGGTGATGGTTTTGTTAACAGAACTCGAATATGTAGCGATGTTTTTGCGTGTCCTGGATACAAAGTTGAATTTTTAAAATGTTATAGCAATGCAACATGCCAAGGTATGGTTTTTATTTTTTGATATCTATTTTTGTACTTAGTTTTAATACATTTTTTTTTTCTATTATTTTTGAATTTTTAAAGGCGCGTGGGAGAAATGGAATGAATGGTCTAGTTGTAGCACAACCTGTGGTGATGGTTTTGTTAACAGAACTCGAGTATGTAGTGATGTTTTTGTGTGTCCTGGGAACAAAGTTGAATATTTAAAATGTTACAGCAATGAAACATGTCAAGGTATAATTTTTTGTTTTTTGAAATTAACTTTATATATAGCTTTACTTTATCATTTTTGTATTTCATAAAGGAGCATGAGAGAAATGGAATAAATTGTATAATTGTATTGTATGGTTTTATGAATAGAACTTTTATATTAATACTGGTGAATTGTTGTATAGCACACAATTTAATCATATATATATATATATATATATATATATATATATATATATATATATATATATATATATATATATATATATATATATATATGTATTCTACAAAAAGAGTGCTCAATGTTCTTAAAAGAACAGAGCAATTACAAATTAGTAGAAAATCACTTAGCAAAATTTTTTCTCATTTTTATATAATTTTTATATAATTTATATATATATATATATATATATATATATATATATATATATATATATATATATATATATATATATATATATATATATATATATATATATATATATACATATATATATATATATATATATATATATATATATATATATATATATATATATATATATATATATATATGTTGAATAGCACACAATTTAATCATAGATATATATATTCTTTATCTTTAAGAAAATATATATATAATATATTTTCTTTATTGTAGGTTAGAGAATTATTTAACATGTAACTTACCTTTAGACAGTGCTGTCTCAAGATTATGCCTGTGAACTAGTTGCAGGGATTTGGTAAACCTCTTTCTACTTTACATGGACATACTTTTTTTCAATTTTTAGGCTGATTCTGAGGAGATTGCAATTATTTCCTATGCAACATCACAAACCTTCACATGTAGGTTGACTTCTTTTTATAATGAAAGTCAGTCCTGTAGAAAAATCATATTGTGCTGGAACATCTGGTGGTTCTGTTATACTTTTTTCAATAAACTTCTGAGTTTATCTGCATGAGTGGGCATCCTTGATGTACTGGTGGGAGGAAAAAAACTATATTTAAGTGTTATTTTTTGTAAAAAGGGATTATCACAGTTCCAAAAAGGACATGATCATGGGACATTTTTTTGGATTGAACCTACTTCTTCTAGTCATACTTTTAAATGAAAACAAATACTCTGATGTTTTAGATTGAATTTTTTTTTTATAAGTTCACCTCCCTTAGGGTGAAAAGGCCAATACAGTTGAGGAAGCTACTAAAATTAAATTTACAACCCTCTCTCAATTCTATAACTTGAAAAGACAAACCTTGACAAACAATGCTGCTGTGCGATGAAATAGTTTGAATTTAATAACTGTATATACTTTAATAATTTAAATCTTTTGACTTGTCAATTTTTTGATAAGTCAATACTTAACTTCAACAAAAATAGATTCAAAAATAATATAAATAAATAGTTTTAAATCAATCTTCAATATCAAGCATAAAAGCATGAAGGAAACTATTGATTCAACTACTATTTGTTCAATCTTACATTTGTTTTGTCAGTCAGAAAATTGAATGAAAGAAAGCTTTCTTTGAATTATATAGAAATTAATAAAAAGCAAAGAAAATTTAATATAAAAAACTTGTAATTCAGAAATAAATACTAGAATGACTTTAAAGATGACACATATGTAAAAACTGAATCATCCATGAAGTTGCCATCAATACAAAGAAGGCATGATTTTAGCATAATTCTCTGTATATTTACCTATTTTGTAGCAATTTTTGCCTATATAGTAGCAACAGTAGAGGATCTAATGCCAAGCATTTTTTACTGATGTCTTAAATGTCTTAAAAGATCATGCTTTGCACTTCTATGTAGATGCATGTTTTTATTTATAATTTTTGTAATTGTATTATTATTATTTATTTTTTTATAATAATTACATATTTTTATAACTAATTTATTTTTGCTTTATGTCTTTTTATTTTGAGCTTTTATATACATAATTATTTAGTCAAATGGTCACATTGGAGCAAATGGGAAAATTGCAATGTTTCCTGTGGATATGGATACAAAAACAGAACGCGAAGCTGCAATAGAAAAAATCTTTTTGAATGGTGCTCTGGTGAATCTTTTGAAACTAATCAATGTTTTGAAAATTTTACTTGTGAAAGTAAGAAGAAACAAATATATAAGCTAGTCTTGAGTACTATCATTATTATTATTAAATTATTATGAGTATCATAATAGATGAATAAACTTTTTATGACTAAATTTTAGTATTTTTAAGTTTTTGGGTTTTACATTTTAGATGACCACATAAGATGTCAACACATTTTTTTTCATTTTAATGTGTTTTTTCTTTTTTTTTTTTTTTTTTTTTTTTTTTTATTTCATCTCTCCACAGCAGTTGTTTCAGCTACAGTTAAGGAGGCTACTTTCTTTTTTTTCTTTTTTTATGGTTACAAACATCTATCAGCTCTTTACTTTAAAACACAAACTAAAACAAACAAACACCCTACTCTCAGTGTAGTTAAGGCAGTTTTTAATAGTTAAAGCATGGGTATAATATTTTACTGACTACAACATATTTCCCTTAAATGATCAGGTCTGTGAATCATGAAAAGACCAAAAAAATTAAAATGATAAACTTCGCCATAACAAAAAATAAAAATATTTGTAGCTTAAAAACCCAGACCAAAAATTCTTTTTTTAAAAAAAACTTTTTAAAATCATGATTGTTTAAATTTGAATAAGCTTTTAAATAAATACACTTTTTAGGTGAAATGAATATCGTAGTTTAATAATGTGACCTGTTCTGATTGTTTATTGGAAATTTTTCTTAGTTAAAAGTGCTCTTTTGGTTGCAATTCTAATAATCTTTGCTAAAATTGCTAGAAATGTTATTTTTGACAATTATATTAGGTTTATATGTGCTAGAACCGATTAGAACTAGGATCTATAGTAGATTAAGGCACTTTTTTAAAAATTTTCAACTAAAATTAAGTTAATGCTGTTGAGCATAGTTGATCCAAAGATTTGAAAATGGTTTTTTTTAGGTTCAATAATAGGGGTAATAAAAAAGTTGAGTTTTTTTATATATTTTGAAAAAATATCAAAAAGAAAAAAGTTTTTTTTAACATTATAAAAACTTGATGCAATAAAAATTATAGCATTTAAACTCTTGTTTAGAACATATGCTGACAAAATCATGCTAATTCCAAATAAAAGAATTCAAATAACTTATGAACCATCCTACCACCGAGCTACCATGGATGTAGTGGGGATTGTACTTAGAACTTCTTACTTTCAAATTAAGTACACCGCCACTATGTATATGCTAAATGTAGTTAGGTTTTAAATGTAGATCTGCCTTTTTGTATTTTATTTATAACATCCATTATTTTTGTCTTTTTATTGTAAATTAATTTACATTTGCTATCTATAAAATATACAGAATTCAGGTGTTTTGCTTTTTATAAATTTTATAATGTATGTGATGATTTTAAAATAGCATCTGATTATTAAGCAGTTTTACAATGTTTTTTAATTTTTAATGTTTGGTATTATTAAAATTTATTTATCTAAAAACTAAATTTGTCATGCCAGTTTTTATTATATTTTTTTTAAAACTGATGTCACTATTTACTGTTTCAAAATAATGAGCATCTTTTATCAATATCGAAAAGAAAAAATTAGTTGTCTATTTGTGGGTTGACATGACACTTACAAATAGACATCTATTTTATCCCATCTGTGTACTTTTTTTTTGAAAAATTTTCGAAAAAAAGGAAACGTTCAAATACTGCTATTAAGATAAATTGCTCTTTAATTTATATTCAGTTACTGTTTATAATGTTTTACTATTTATTCTACCATAAATAATGCTAACACTATATAAACATGTTATGCAAATACTATTGTTATACAATGTTATTGTAGTTTTTACAGTTTTAGTAGTTTTTACTTAATGCTGTTAATAACTAAGTAGAAAATATGTTACAACATGTTAATATTTGCAAAATATGAGGCACAAAATGCAAAAAAGTCCTAAGTCTTATATATATAATATATCAATTTTTCTGTGCTCCCCATTTTTTCTAATCAGAGAAGGTTGCTGCTCTGTTCCATTATTCTGTTTGGAGAAGGCAACTCTGTGAATAACCAACAGTTTTTTAGTCAACTAATTTACAAAGGTTAACTTTTTTTTTAATCAAAAGGTTGCTTTTTTTTTAGAGCTTGAAGCAATAAGTATCTGTATTTATGAATATGATAGTAGAAGTACCTATATTTTGTATATTATATTTATGTTTTACATTCTTCCCAATATTAGTTGCCCAATGTCTTATATTGTTTAAAAAACAATATCAACCATTGTCAATGATAACAATTTATAATTTTTTTAAGATAAATATTATTTGTAATATTAAACAACTTAACACAACGTTATCTTAATATTTTATGAACACTTAAAGTAAATCTGCAGCTTGTTTAGTCAAAAAAATGTTTAATCAAAAAATATGCTACTACTTTTAAAAATTTTAAAAGCATGTTTTATTGAAAATTTTCAATATTTTTATAAAAAGTCTAAAAGTATAAAAATTAACAAGTTTTAAACATACCAAAAGTAGCAAGTAGAAAGACTTTTTATTCAGTAAAATGATTCTTTTTGTAATTTAATAAATTATGTAAGTTTAAAAAATCATTTTAAGATAAAATTCTTGATTTTGATTTAAAATTCTTTTTGTCACAAAAAGAATTTTAAATCAAATTTCTTTCTTTAAAGTCAATATAAAAAAAACAATCTTGATCATGCCTTTACTTACACATCTTGCGAAATAAATTTTGCTGTATTGTTAAATTTACAATAAAATTTACATTAAAAAAAAACGGTTTTAAAAAGTTTTTTTTGTATCAATATCTTGATTATTTGGAATGCCTTAATGATTTCTCATTTATTATTTAGTCATTTTTTTTAATGATTGAGAAATTATTGTTAATAGTTTTGAATTTTGAATTATTTTATATTTCTTTTTTAATGATAAGGAAATTGGACCAATTGGAGTGAATGGTCGATATGTAACATTTCATGTGGTTATGGTTTTATGAATAGAACACGAGTTTGTAATACTACATATGCATATGAATGGTGTTTAGGTCAAAGTTTTGACAATAGTATATGTTATAGCAATCGTTCTTGTATAGGTTAGTTATTTTAATACAAAAAAGTAGTAGTAATAATAATATTATTATTAATAATAATAATAATAATAACAATAATAATAGCAATAATAATAATGATAATAGTAATATAACTTTGTAGCTATACTTTTATGAAAAAAAAACTGAATGCAGTTTTAAGTTGCATTGTTAAAGTATTAAAATTAAATGTTTAGTTATTTTCTAACATTTAAATTTATTAGTTGTTTCTTGTTCTGTTAATTAAAAACGTAGTTTATTCTAATTATTTACAATTCTGTTTATAGTTTGTAAATATGTTTTTTATGACCGTGTAATGCAGTTTTATGTGTAATTTAATGCAGATTTCTTACAACAAATTGATTCGTGCGTAATTGGTTTATCCAATTGATTTCTTCATATCTTATGTAGATTTTGTAAGGAAAATAAGATTGCTTTTTGCTCCTTAGTCTTTAAATTCCTAAAATTGTCATGAGATTTTTGTAGCAGTTATCTCTTAACTCATCAATACTTTTTTCTGCTTTTCTTTGTATTGTCTTTAGAGTTGTAACTTTTTAGTTTCCGCTAGTCATATTTCTAATTAAACTTTCCATTCACTTGCACATAATAGATGTTCAAGATACTGGTTGGTAGATGCAAGATTTTGTTTCTCTTTTTAAATAATAGAATAGCATTTACCAACAGCCATTCATTTTACAAAAAAGAAGAATTAAAAGAGTCGATAAATAATATAAAGGGCGGAATTGAAATATTTGGTGCTAATACGACATGGAATCATAACTAATAGATATACTATGATTGTTGTTCAATCTTTTTTAAGACATTTATAATTTTCTTTTCATAATAAACTTCAAGCAACCATTACTTTATATTTTTAAAAACACTTTAAAGTATCTGGTATTATCACAATTTAAAAACAAATTATTCCAATTTTTGTGAGCAACAAACCTGTTGAAAAAATTATAATCTCTTCTTGATTAGCTGTATTTTCTATTATAAAAAACTTGGAACACTTTATAAATATCGTAATATCATGTTAATATTAGATGCTTCATTTTTTCTAAATGAGGTTTCATTTTTATGAATAAAATTTTGTTTTCCTTGTTTGTTATAGGTAAATCCAGAATGTTTTTTTTTTGTTGTTTTCAGAGCTCCAATAGAACATGGGTTGTTAATATGAATAATCAAGTTCAAATTCATTATGTTATAAATTTAAGGTTTTTATATTTTAAATAACTTTTTATTAAAAGTTTAAAAATTTTGTTTGATGCTTTTACATAGTAACAATGAGGTTTTTTTTATTCTTGTTTTCTAATCATGTTTACATTTTTTTATCGTATGTATATTGTGAAAATAGTAGACATTTAATTTTAAAGCAATTTAACTACTTCAAGTCTTTCCATTTATTATCTGGACATAACAGAGTTCTGCATTATTAAAGTAGAGTGTCATAAGTAGAGTGTCATATTCTAAATTAGAGCAATTTTGCGAAATTAATAGATAAATACATAACTTTACCCACAGCTAGTTTGTTTTTCTAGATTAATGGATAACTAGAAAAAACACTCTTTAGTTGTGCAACAAGCTTTTGCATAGTTATGAGTTTCAATATTCAATGGTTTTCTCATGAAAATGTTTGCAATTAACCAATAAATGTGGTTACAAATTATATTTGAAAGTGTATTTTAAAGTTTTTGATTACAGTAAATAACAATTGATTGACAAAACCATTGCTGTGTATTGTTTTATATTTCCTTCTGACGTTGAAAACTTAAACTTGAAGAACTTTTGTTTAATTAAAGCAATTTTATCTTTTCATCAAAAATATTTTATACAAAAACAAGTAAAGAACTTATTTTTTTACTGCCTCCGCATTCATTCTAAGCACAATTTTATATTCAAACTTAAAATAGACTTTAAAAGTTTTATGGAATTTTTTTTTTAAATTCATTATAACCTTATTTAAGTTAAGTTTATAATTCATATCTTCAGTGAAAAATCATTGCCACTTAATAGTCAAAAATCTAAAAAAAAAACTAAAAATTACAAAAATTTAAAATTTAATACAACTCAGCATTACTATTTTTACACTTTTTAAATTAAAATTTAAATATTTAATTAAACAAAATTTACCTAAACATTCAGATATTGACCTCCATTATTGTGTCATGCAACATAATAACATGGAAATTGGTATTTGGTTTACAGGGTTTCAATAGAAGATGCATGTGGTATATCAAAGTTCCAAAGCATTGAAACCTCAAAATCCTATTTTTTTGAAATACGTAGTAATGATTTTTCAACAGCAATATCATATTTTTTTAACCACAGTATTGATTACAATTTTTTAACTTATAGTGGAAAGACAATGGAGTCCATGGGGAGGATGCAGCAAAACATGTGGCCAAGGAATAATGTTAAGATCGCTTCTAAAGTTAAATCATATTGATGAAGAAGTAAAAGAAACACAAAATTGTAGTCTTATAATGTGTCCAGGTTAGTTAGCAGTAAAATTTGTGTTGATTTTTTTCAATTTCAATTCAATATTTTGAATTTCAAGCTTTTCTTTTGTTATAAAACTTTTTTTACTTAAACTATAAATGTTTCATAAAGTTGTTTCAAAATATTTTAGTTGATGGTGGATGGAGTGAATGGGATAATTTTGGCCCTTGTTCAAAAACATGTGGTGATGGCCTCATGGTTCGACTAAGGCATTGTAATAAACCGCTTCCAAGAGATGGAGGATTGTATTGTTTTGGATTAAACATTGACTATAGAAATTGTGAACTTGATACAATATGTCCAGGTAGATGTTTTTATTATAGTGATGTCTTCATTGATGTCTTAATATCGGTATCATCTTTATTGATATGTTAATTATAATAGTCTTCATTTCTAATTTTTTTTTTTTTTTAGGTCATAAGCAAAATACTTAAAAATTATATATTGTTATTAAAAAATTATGTTAATTTTTATAAATTTGGTTTACATAAGTTATTTTTTCACACCTGAATTGATAGTTTTCATCCAAATTAATATGTAAAATTGAAATGAAAAAATAATGTGAAACAATAACTGTTTTGAAAAATAGAAATATCTTTTATTTTGATTATATTGATGTTTTCGTTTCTATATTAATTTTTTTTAAATCATTTGGCAATGCACTAAAAAAATTTGGTTGAATTATAAAATCTTGTAAATTTTTTAAAACTTGATTAACATTTTCTTTGTAAGTTTTGAACCAAATTAATAAGATAATAATAAAATTGCATATTAATTTGGTTCATTTAAAAACAATTCATGCAAACATTGCATAGTGGAATTTTAGTCAACCTATATAGGCATTTTTAGTGGTCAACTGTAGTTCATTGTGTAGTGCTCATCGGTTACTTAGTGAAGCATTAGAGGCAACTGCCAAAAAGGGCTTTCCAATGACTAGCCACTATTAACATGTAGGAAAGTTATTGGCTGGCTATTTGTTGCTGCTGTCACTAATGGCCCACTAAGTAACCCATGAGCAAAACTCAATAAACTACTCAAAAATGCCTTTATTGGTCTACTGCAAATCCACTAAAACAATGTTTGCTGGGAGTAATTATTTTTAAAAACATAAACCAGTATATATATATATATATATATATATATATATATATATATATATATATATATATATATATATATATATATATATATATATATATATATATATATATATATATATATGCATATATATATATTAGGGTGATGCAAAATTTGTAGGTTCAAAACTTTAGTTGTCCTCAAGCTTGCCCTTGTTCTATATGACAATAGTAGTTATTGGCCAAAATTTGAATCAAATCGGATGATATTTAGGGGTTGCCATGTTTTGTCACATTTTGGTATAAGGTTACAAAAAGTAAAAAAAATATTTTTTATTTTCACATTTTTTATATTATATTACTGAATTATTTATTATCAATTTCTTATTATTATGTGGTGGATTGTGGATATTTAATGTTAAAAAAATCAATACTATAGTACTACTATGTAATTGCACTAGGCAATAATAAATCAATCATCTTCATCATTCAACAGTCATCTTCATCAGGGTAGACTTTGATGCAACTGGAAATTCCTTCCGGTGAAGATCAACCAATCTAAGAAGAAACTGCTTTTGGTTTTCATCTTTCGTAACGCTTGAGTTAAAGGATGTTATAAGTGCTATGCCTCGTTCCGCGCAATCGTTGACGACTTTCATTTGACTAACCTTGTGCTTCATTTCAAGATATGTTGAATCCATTTCCCACTCTGAAGATTCTTTCATTAAAAGTGATTCAGCTTTTTCTTTTCCATTTTTCAAAATTAGATCGAAAAGTTCTGCGGCGCGTTGTGTGACAAAGGAAGGCAATGGGCTGTGACAATCGAATGTGGCAGCATCAAGTCTTTTGAGAGATTTCTGCCTTGGCTGTTGTTTCAGGTTGTTTGCCATGTCTCTCTTGGTGTTGTTGTCGACACGGGAATCGAAGAAAGCCAATCCTATTAGATGTTTAGAAAAATACCAGAGGTGGCGATGAAAAGCTTTTGCTGCATTAATTGCAATTGTACGATTTGGATATTCTTGAATCCGTTGAAGAAGCTTGTCATCATTGAATGGTGCTCGTTCAGCTAACGGAGCTTCATTCCAAAACTGTCCGTATACAAATGCCACAAAAAGACTTATATCTGTTATTCCTTTCTTTTCCTTTGCAGTAATAACAAATTGATCCTGAAACAAATATATCTTTATACAATATATAGCTTTTGCCATCCAACGTGCATTGTGTGTTGCACCTGGAGCCCGAAACTTCACTTTGAACTCCGATGTTGTAGTTGATCCTCCAAGATAAATAAGGCACAAATTCAAGAGTTCTAAGTAATCATCCCTGGGTTGTTGACCTTTAATTGCTTCACTATAATATACTACCATTTCTTCACGGAGTTTGAGAAAAAAATCGCAGTTGTAAAATTCTTTATTCCCTATAGTGAACACCTCCTTGTTGATTGCTGGCCATTGTTTCTGGAAACGGTTAAAAATTCCAACTTCAGGTCCTCCACTGGTTCCAAATGCAGTTGTGAAAATGGTGGAAAAAATGACTTCAAACATATGGTGCCTGCATGCTATTCATATAAGATTACGGTCAAGATTCTGCTCCATTATTGTGCAGGCACCAATGTTCAACCCAGTGTTAGATGAAGTAGTGTCAAAAACCAGTCTCCAAACAAGTTCTTTCAATTTCCAGTCTTTAAGAGCCTTCATGCAAGCATCAGCCTGTTGCTCACCTGAAAACTAGATAAACCTAAAACGCCCAGCAATTTTTCTACCCCACCACCAGTCACAAGGATGGCAATTCTATCCACTTTTTTTTGACCACCAGTGATATCAGGTAAGAGCTTTCCATCCCAATGCAGAAGAAGTGGATCATCAGGAGAGAAATCAACCTTGTCAGCTGTAGTCACCGCTTCACGAACAGATCGCCTTTTTCTGCGGGTTGTGATGTACGACAATGATAAATCTTTTACCGAGTGACCAAGAGCCTGAGACACTGTTCCAACCACGAAGAGTGCACGGCGATCAGAAATATTAACACGATCAAGAGATGATACAACATTATTTGTTAGAACTTTCATCTTCTTTTTCGTTGAACCACTTGTGCTCAGTGTGCTGGAAGCGGAAGGAGTCTGATATACATCATCATCCGAGGAACTAGAGCTACTTTCACTCACAATGTCAACTGCTGATGAAGAAGAAATGAGTTCTGTTTTTTCCATCAGTTCCGCTTGACTTCTTTGACGCCTCAATTCCATTTTAGTTTCTCGGACTCGTTTCCGTGCCTCCCTTGCTGTTAAATTCTGATCAATTCCTGCCATACTACAACTTAATGGATCTTCTTGCTGCTGACGTAAAAATGCTTTATCTTCATCGTTTTTCATAACTTCTGATGCATTCTTGGTTGAAATATCCAAAAGTTCTTCAAGGTCAGCGTGGAAAATTCCTTCTTTCATTTGACAACTGTCCAATTTTGATCCTCAGTGTTTTTTCAGCAGCAGATATTCGTCATAAAGTTTTTTTAACTTTCTTTCCGCATTGTCAATTCTTTGAGTTGGAATTTTTCCTCTCTCCCATATAACAAGAACTGCTTCAATTGTTGCCCGAATACTTTTTTTCATTTCTTGTTTCTCTTCTATATGATGGAAGAGCAACCTCCGAAGAACACCCCCTCTTGAAGGAAGTCTGGCAGTCGACAGAGTTTGTGTAGGTTTACCAACAAGCCACACCTCAGCAGAAGATCTAGTGGTTGCCATATTATCAATTTCTAAATTATAAATAAATAAACAATGAAAAAACAAATTTGCGAAATTTGAGAAAATCACAAAATTTTACCAATGGTTAATTCATCTTATAAAACATGGCAACCCCTAAAATTGCTTCTTTTAGTCTAATTTTTGGTAAACATGATCCTAGGTGATAAAGGAACACAGGCAACCTTGAGGAGAATGTTTTTTGTGACATTTTTTTTTTCTATTACAATTTGAATCACCCTAATATATATATATATATATATATATATATATATATATATATATATATATATATATATATATATATATATATATATATATATATATATATATATATATATATATATATATATATATATATATGCATATATATATGTATGTATGTATATATATATATATATATATATATATATATATATATATATATATATATATATATATATATATATATATATATATATATGTATATACATATATATATATATATATATATATATATATATATATATATATATATATATATATATATATATATATATATATATATATATATATATACATACATACATACATATATATATATATATGTATATATACATATATATATATATATATATATATATATATATATATATATATATATATATATATATATATATATATATATGTATATATATATATATATATATATATATATATATATATATATATATATACATGCATAAATACATATATACTAAAGTGTCCCAAAAAAAAAAATAAAAGCTCTTTACTGATTCCCATTCTATGTGACCTAAATAAGTCCAAAAAAAAATTTGACGTTTCTATTTAGGCAGGAAGTGCTAGATGTAAAATCTGAGTTTTACTGTTTTAATGTTAAGCTGGCTTAACATTAATAGAAAATACAATTTTTTTACATTTTAGGAAGATAAAACAAAATAATTATATGCGTATAAATCATTTTTTGTAAAAACTTCTATAGTATTAACACTTTTATTGAGTCATTCTTTTATACTTTATATTTTAAAATATTTGAAGAGAAGGTAGCTCTGCTCGTAAATCATCTTAGGTAGCTCTGTGGTCTCTCCAATTTGTACATTTGATGATTTACAACGCTTAAGTTCATTTTGTTCTTCAAACTCAATCAGAGGTAACAGCATTCTTAGCTTTGTTTCAGAAGAAACTTTTTTTCCCAAAAGGACAAAACACAGAGTTGCGGAGTTAAGTACCACGTACGGCGTCCCATGCTGTGAAGTAAAGCATTTCCAACATTTTTATTGACTTTTCTCAATGTATAGGTTGTCTGGATATCTTTCAAATCATTGAGAAAGCCAGAAATCCTAAAAAATTCGTCAAAACCCATGGAACATAGCAAATTGCAATGAACAAACTAGCATCCTTTAACTGCAGCACTTCTTTTTCTGTCAAGATATCACTGATATCTTGACAGAAAAAGATGTGCTGATGAGGCAAGGTTTTTAACAGATCGCATCTGCTAAAAACCTTGCCTCATGGCAGGCGCCAGGTAGATGAAACTTAAAACCTTGTACTTCTGCTCCAAGGAAGAAGGAGGCAAGCTTACAAACTATACCATAATCATTCCTTGAAAACATCATATCAGTTGTTGCATTAATCAAAAATGTCTCAGATTCCTCTGCAACAGTGGGAAGAAAGAGCCAATCTTCAGATCATCTTTTTGCCAGTCCAATTTACATAAATTTTTCACTTCATTAACTTTCTAACAGATTTCAGGCCACTTTTCTTTAGCTTGACATAAAGAGCTTTTCTTGGACCTTTAGTTTTCTCACCAGTAAGAGCAGCCATTTAGTGAGATACATATATTTCATATATGTGTCTCCTACACATCATCCACAACATTGGCAATTTCAAAATATGTGCAAGAAATTCGACTGCTCCATTGACTCTGTCTGTATTGTTTGCAGTTGTATCACAGCATATACCAATGATCTGACCTTTACATTCATATTATTCTGAAAGATTGTGAACTTGTTCTGCTTGGTCAATTCCCTTTGAAGAGGGACATTAAACATTACCTAAAAGATGGTCTACCATGTCATCGTCATTGGGGGAACTCACTGAGACTGCAAGTTGCTCAATTTTTTGAATAATGTTAAGCCCAGTGGTAATTTGTTCCAACACTTTGGTATCAAAATGAAGAATATGCCTTTGGCTTTTAAGATCATTACTTATTAAAATTCACTCTTTATATCTTCCAGCTAGGCATTATCTGTTTTCAATCTATCAGCAATAATATCTTTTTAAAAATTCTTAGTCGAGATGTTAAAAAGCTGATAGGATATTGTGAGGAAATCTCTCTAACTTGGATTGCTTATCGAGGCTACTGTTTTAGTTTAGAAAAGATAATTTAATCACTTTCTTGTATTTTAAATTAAGTTTAAAGATTTTGGTCTTTATATTGTACCCAGAAATCACAAATTTCAGGCCAAACCCAGCATTATACCACATTTTTTTAATCCTAGTTACCAAGCAAAAATTATCAGGATATGTTCAAACTTTTTTTTCACAAACAAAATCCTTAAATTTCGATTTCAATTTGCAACCAGCATTAGTAGAAGTAGGTTTGTATTTAACCTGTGACTTGAGAAGGATAAATTGATAGTATCTTAGAATATCACCATTAGATGGAAGCTGTCTCTGAGGTAAATCCTTCATGGCTACTTCAATAAGTAATTATACCTCAAGCCCTCTGAATTTTTCCGTTTTTTCTTATTCTGTCCCATCATCTTCTTTTTTTTAGTTGTTCTACCCATTTTTTTATGAATTTCAAAATAATTAGTTTTTTAACTAAAACTATACTTAATTTTACACTTGCATCAAAAATATATGAAGTCTTTATTCCTTCTTATATCATATTTTATCTAAGTTTACCGTTACAGTTTTTATAACCGTTTACACAAGAATTTCTTCGTGCACAAATTAGAATTCCTTTGTGCACAAATAATTCCATTTAGAAATTTTTTTTATCCAAAAAAATTTTTATATGGAGTTATTTGTGAACCAATCCATGGGGAATTATACCAACTAATAATATTGTCCAGAAGGCATTATATCAATCGCTAACAATGTTCATAGGGAATGATGCTAATCTTTAATAATATCCTATGGAATAATTTGTGTACCAATTATTACATCGTATTAAAACAAATTGAAATATTAGATAATGCTATTTTTATGTAAATACACATATGTGTACAAACCCGTAAAATGATTTTGGTAGCTATTTAGGACCTATAGAATGGGGATCAGTTGAGAACACATTTAAATTTTAAAAAAAGTGTGTTTTGGGGACATTCTAATACATACATACATACATACATACATACATACATACATACATACATACATACATACATACATACATACATACATACATACATACATACATACATACATACATAGGTTTTAAAGTAGGAGCGGACAAAATTGTCTATTTTAAAAAATAACTTTTTATTACCATATTTTCTATTTAATTGTGAAACATTACATTTTTTATATTATTCTGTTTGTTATTGAGGTTAAAACTAAAAAGTTTGTGGCTTTTTTATTTAAACCATTGGTTTCCATTTTTTAAATGTGTTATACATTATTAACATTGAGTTATTAATGAAGTTATAAAATATTAATATTGAATTCTAAAAGAATTCAATATTAGTTTGTTTTTTTTTTGTTTTTGCTTTGTTTTTATTGTGGTTTTTTGAACAGATACACCAAGTAATTGAAATTATTCATTACAGTTCATGGAGGGTGGTCAGATTGGACTACGTGGTCTCAATGCAATCAACCTTGTAATGGAGGGGTAATGAAAAGATTCCGTGATTGTATAAATCCAATACCTTCCTCAGGTGGTAGAGAATGTGATGGAATCAGCATGGATGTTGTGTCATGTAATATGCATAAATGCAGAAGTACTTTTATTATCTTTAATATTGTTTTCTTAAATCCATTAAGAATTTGTTTAAAAAAAATTGTTTCAACATAATCATTATATATCATATTCTTAATAGGGGCTACCATAAATCTTGTTATGTATTTCCCTGAGGAATTTTATGCAGATGATTATGCTAAACCTAATAGCAAACCTTCGTTAATTTTAAAAGAGAAGATCAAATATCTGGTGATTTTTTTTTTTTTATTTTTAATTTTTCTTTTTGTTGCAAATTGCGAGTTAATTTGTCTCAAGTCTTAAACCTATATCGAAAATATCATCAGTTATAAATAAAATACCTTCATCTTAAATATCTTCCTTTTTATCTAAATTTATACTAACCAATACTTCTTAAGTGTAACTAACTGTAAAATCAAGAAAATAATTGCAAGATTTAAATTCAAAGTGTACTCTAGGAAGATCCTCTGTAAGCCACAAATTTTCAGATTTTCAATCAAAAAGGTTTTGCAGGAAAGCAATAGAATTAAACAAAGTAGATTGTTAAAGTTAAAAGAAATATGTATAAAATACACGAGATATATATTGTCACAAAAAAGAGATTATCGCAACTTTCTTGAATAATTCCGATTTGTAATATTCCTTTGACACTTTTGATACTTAAGAAATATAAGACAATTTTATCGCTCTCATTTTTATCACATTTATTTGTTTTAGAATTTCGTCACCTATTAAATTCTATATTCATTCATAATATGGAGTTAAATTAAATTATGTTAAAAGCTTAAAAGTTATTAAATGTTATTACATTTGAAGTAAGTTTTGATGCCAATTTTATGGTTTCATTATACAGTTTAATAACTTAATAAAATAATATTTTATAATTTTTTTTTTAATATAACAAGAAATGAAGCAATTGTTAATACTTTACATGCTCCAAGCTCTAACTGTCCTAAATGATATTGAAAAACAAGGAATCTTGCATATTGGAGAACCTACTGGTTACAATAGCCACAGAGTTATAAAACTGTTTTTACTAAAAGAATGAATTATAAAAATCTTTTTTTTTCTCACTAAGTTCCCATTTGCATTGTGCAAAGCAATGGTTTTTATTATAAAAGCCAAAAAGTAAAAGAAAAAGGATATTAGATACATTGAAAGGAATTGCTTTAATTTTTTGAATATTGGTAATAACATGAAAGCTTTAATTTACCTGAAGTTGATAAAATAAAGGAGAATCATTTGGAAACTTCAGATTAATGTTTCAGTGAAGCTGAAAATGGCATGTGCGCAATGAACACCAATATCTTTATTTAAAAAAGCACCATCTGATTTCAAAGTGTTTTCTTATAAATCTTATTTATTTTTTTTCGCCTTGTGTCTTATAAGGTAGTAAAAAAAAAAGTAAAAGTCACGCTTGAGTTCGTATTTATGAATATTTATAAACATTATAAGATTTTTAATTGTTGTAATTTTATAATTTGGAATGTCTCATTACCTGAATCTACTTGTGCATAAAATCTCTTCAGGTACATACTCAAGTAAATTTAAAGAATCGTCTTCAAGTTTAAATTAAAATGCTATCGTGTGGTTACAATACCCATTTATTTCCAGCTTCATACTTTCTTTGCTTTATCAATTATATAAGGTTATACGAAACATAAATACTATCAGCTGATACATATCGTAACGTTTGGATTAATGTTATATGAAAATGATGTGTTCTTTTAAGAGTTTATTTTAATAATCACATTAATAAGCTTTGAATTGTAACATTTAAGAAAAAGATAAAACGGTTTTTGAAAATGTTATTACACAAAAATTACACTTAATGAAAAAATAGGTTGCGCCCACATTGTGAGGGACAATCACACTCTCACTATAATTGTTGGGTACAACGTGGTACATTTTCTTTACAATTGTCACAGCTCTGTCTATCTGTTGATTTAGCTGCATGTGTGCACTGTGCAAACCATCACCAGATATACATAAATGAAACAAGATAACAATTTACATTCCTAGCTTTATATTTTAACCAAAGGACAGTTTTTAGAAAAAATAGACTTTTATTGCTTGTTTATTAGGTTATGTTAATATTAAAAATAGTTTTCACTTGATGAAATTACGCTGATAACACATATGTTTTTAACTAAAATCAAATATTACTTAATCCACAAAAAATAAGTCTAAAAAAATATGGTGTAAATATAATATTTTTATCAAAATATGTAATATTTTCAACAACTTCTCAGAAACGCAACACCCACTCTTATTGACAGAAATAAATAAGGGTAACTGTTTACCTACACATGTAATGTTTGTTTCCATATCAGATAATATTTTACATAGGGGAATATTAAAAAACGGTTGTTCCTCCATATGCGGTTATGTATTAACTTCTCTATTTGTTTATGTTTTTTTTCATTTTAAATTTTCAATATTTCATTATAGTATTAAATATGTAAAATGAAAACAAAAAAAATACCATAATATTACATCCTAATATTACATCCTATCAAAATTATGTTAAATAGCTGTTAAAAAACGCGCATTAGACCGCAAGGCACATTAGAAGTTGTTTTATTCGTGTTTTTTAATGGATTCTTACCAACCCTTTTATTAAGGCCCACGTTGTTTTTATTAGATTTAGACTAACTTTCCTCGCAATCCTTTTATAAAACAAGCGAGATTACATCATCACATATTATGGTTTAAACCGTTGACTCTGCTTTTTTCATTACAAAATCTAAAATTACTTAAACGAACATTTTTTGTTAATATATTTTTTTTAAGAAATTAGCAAGTTATAGTTATTGTTATTATTTTTTTAGATGAATAAAATCTCTGAAGAACACTTAGCAGAAAGATATTTTAGTGTAGAAATACATTCAATGAAAAATATAACGATGAATAAAACATTTCCATAAAATGCCGTTTATTGAGCAGAATGAATTTAATGAACTGATTTTATGCATTTAACAAAAAGATATAATTTTAATTATAAATATTATGAATTATTTTTATTTATTTTTTTTTCTCTTTTTTATTTAACCAGTAATATTCAAACTTGATGTACACTGTTAAAACTATTTAAATGAAAAATATTTTTTTTGCTTTTAGTTTTTATTGCATTTATATAAAGTTTCATAATTAGTTCAATATATGCTGTCAATGAAAGAAGAGATTCGTAAATTAAAGAATATTATTATAGTACTAGCTGATCTGACCCGTAAACTTACGGGTTTTTGTAAGTCTATTCCACATTGACCTTTTCTACACCTTTTCCATATATCTTTTCCATATATATATATATATATATATATATATATATATATATATATATATATATATATATATATATATATATATATATATATATATATATATATATATATATATATATATATATATATATATATATATATATATATGTATATATATATATATATATGTATATATATATATATATATCCTAGCTTTCCAAACCCATAAAATTTGGGTCTTTACCAAATCTACCATTTCTATACTTGTCTATTCCACACCGATCGTACCTATACCTATTATTTGTTTACTTCAATATTTTTACGTAAAATAATTCATTTAAAAAAATTGCTCTAAGAGCAAAAAAATTAACATGCGCACCCTTTCAGCATTCCTAGAGCTTATAAGAGATTTATAATTAGGTTTGTTTTTCTCCTAAACGCTTATCATTGATAGCTCAGTGGTTTAGTGCATTGTCACCAGTGTCATTTTGGGGTTTTAAGATATCCCCTAATAAATTTAAAAAATTTTTCATTCTCGCTGCATTTATAGCAGTATTTATAGCAAAAAAATTATAACAGTATCTCAGTTTGTTATTATTTTTTAATAGCAATATTATTTTATAATAGAATAGAAGAACTAAGAAGATCTTAGAGCATTTTAAACTATAGACTATAAAATGCTGAGGAATCCCCCAATATCTAAGCTAAATTTGTTTTAAAAAAAGTAGAAGAGGTTTTTTAAAAGATTTCTTTAGGATGGCGATTTTCATTAAACTTAATGAGCTATATAGATTTTTTATTTATACGACTCTGCAAGAAAAAATTTTGATCATTTTTGTTTTCTTTATTTAGAAGTTTAGCGTTGCATAATTTATGGACTATTCCTTATTTTAAAGAATAGATAACGGATCAGCCAAAAAGTATATAAAGCCAAAAAATAAGGAAGTATAATACTATTTTGATGGTTATTTAAATTGTCGTAGCTGCGCACTCAATTTTGAATGTTTAACGGGGGCGTGGTAAAATAGAGGTATAATTTTAAATTTCTTTATTGTATTAATATTAAATAACTTTAACTTTTATTTGCTCTTAAAATTAAATAGTTTTTATAAAACGGTTTAGTTTAAATATAAAATTAAAATTTTAAATTATTTTTTATAAAAAAGAACATACTTTTTAAACCCCCGTACTGTTTTGAAAAAACTAATTAGCTGCGTTGCCAACTCAAATCGTTAGCGTGCTTTATTGTTTAATTTTTGTTATTTAAAATGCAAAACAAAACAACTTTACAGTTCTATAGATTTTATATTCTATATATAAACATATGTATACTCATTTTTCTTGCACAAACTCAACTTAGTTGTAAAAAAACTTGAAATGTAAAACTAAAATAACACAAGTATCTCAACCATTACACATACGCAACAAATAACCCCCCGTTTTTTAATGTTTTTCAGAATCTTCAGCTTTTTTAAAAATCTTTCCGTTTGTTAAAGTGTATAACAGTGTTAAATATGTTTGTGTATAATCTTTACAAAACTTCGCAAGTATTTTAAAAATCTGAATTTAAAAAAAGTCACCGGTTGTTGGATTCCAACTGCGGCTTTCTTGTTTGGGAGCACAGCGCGTTGACCACTCGGTTATGCTCGAAAATTTAAGTCTATATAAAATTTGTTTTAAACAGAAATAAATGCTGTAGGCCTATATAAAAAATGCTGTAATGCCTATATAAAAAATTATTAAGAGGTTTACGCAATGCAGTTTTTAAGTGAAAGTCCAACTGTAAAACTTGATAAATGTTTAAGTATGCTTTAAATTACATAACTTGTTTAATTTCACAAATTTCTTTTAAAGATTCTAAAATTTTTGAAAAAAGAATGGCGAGGCCTTGGACTCGAACCAGGGCTTTCTTGTTCAGAGGTTCATCGCGCTATCCAATCGGCCATGCTGGCACGTTGATCCTCAAAATTTTAAAACTTTCTAATAAAGCAAACATACTCTTTTTCTTATAAAGTAAAGAGACTCTTTTCTTATAAAGCAAAGAGACTCTTTCTTGCCAATACCTCGGTTGCAAATGCTGCCAAGGGTTTTGTGTCAAATACGCTCCAAGGAACACTACTACTATTAAATCTAATTATAAAACTGTAAAGATCGGCGATAATGTATAGAGATACAATTATATTAATCCTATGTTTATGTATTCTATTATCAATGATTAATTATTAAAAATAATACAGGGCGGCCACTGGTCATGGAAATCATGGATATGTCATGGAATTTTATTTGGTCCTGGAAAAGTCATAGAACTTCTAAATTTTCATTAAAAGTCATGGAAAATTCATGTAAACTTTAAAATGATCTTTCTTTTTTTCTACTTGTGATATTTTTAGGACGCAAAAAAAAGTACTAGTATGTCTGGTCTAATTCCTTCTTAAAAAATATATTTTTGCAGTGTTATAGATTATTAGAGAAGTAAGTGAAAAAGAGTTTTTTTCAGACATTCTACCAAATAGTATTTGGTTTGTATATTTTATAATGACAAAGTTGCAAATGCTTAGTGCATGGCAAGTACTGAATGTTTTACTCTAATAATTTATCATAAAAACTTCAGAAAAGTCATTGAAAAGTCATGGAATTTAATTTTCAAATTTGAGTGGCCACCCTGTAATAAAAACAAATCACTAACAATTAGATTACATGAAAAGAACTTCCTCCTTTGTGTTCGTGTAGATTAATTACTAGCGAGTAGTATAAGGAAAGACTAAAATGGCTTAAACTTCATAATAAAAGTATATTAAATGTGTAAGTTGCAGTATTTTTAACACCCCTTGTGCTTGACTAAAGCACTTTTTCAATAAAAAATAAAATAAAACAAAAAAAATAAAATAAAAAATGATATTTTCTGCAAAAAAAGTTTTCTAACAAAGGTATGCATCTTACAATATGTTAATTCTATATAGGAATGAGCTTCTTCGTTTTCATTCTCGTCATCTTTAATTAGTTCTTCTCAAGTTGTTTTGATTTCTTTTTTTTCTTATAATAATCACAAGCTGAATTACATGGCAATTCAAATTTGGTGGGTAATACTCATTTAAATGTCAACTCAAATTTGTACTCATTTAAATGTTTAAAATTCTTTTAAATTTTAGGGGCTGATTTACCCCATGAAATATCTAATTGGGAATATCTAATTTAGCTATTTGTAAAGATATATAAAATGGATAACTAATAAACTAAAAATTTCTCGTAATCGACATGGTATATAGGCAAGTGTTAAAAACAACTCTAACTCAATTAAGTTGAAATTTCTTAATAACAGTAAAAAATCAAACAAAGCAAGGTTTACAACTTCTTGATGAGTAGGCTTAAGGTGAAAATAAAGGGTGCACCTGTCATCTGAACATTAATCACACAAATGCTACTAAGGTCTTGAAATTGGTGGAAAATGATGTTCAATACCAAGTTAAGCTTGGCTTCAAATTGAATAATATTTTAGTTGTGTAACTAATGGTGCACCAGTTTTAAAAAAAATAGGACATGAAAATAACATTTTAAAGTTATTTAAGGGGCTTACCTAAATCCTGAAATAACTTTGAACGATCGTAACGTTTAAACGAGAAATTTTTTTTTGTTAAAATTTAACATTTGTTGATAAATTGTGACCTTGTTTATTATCACACAAAAAATATTAGAAATATTCCTTTTAGGAATATTACCCAAAAAGTGTACTAAATAGGGTCCAATTGGACCCCTATTGACCCACCCCTTGGGTTAAACTTGTTGATTTTGTTATATAAATATAAAAATAAAATAATTTTATATACTTATATAAAAAGTTAAAATAATTTTATTGCTATTAAAATATTTTGAGTCTATGTAGTTAGATTTTGTGTTAAAATTGTGTCTATGTGGTTAGATTTTGGTTTTATTTATATTTTGTGAGTCATATATTAATATTATTTTTAATTTTATTTAGCTGTCCCCAAGATATCCTTACGGTCTTATCACTGAGAATTTAATTGGAAGTTCACGCTTTTTTCCTAAGCAATGTTGAAAAACTTGCCCAAAGGTGGGATTTGAACCACACATCTTTTGTTTCTGAGGCAAGTGCGCTACCACTGCGCCATGGCTGCTCATATCATATAACAAAAAATTATGTTAAACAACTGTTTCTAGGAGGTTTATACTATACTTTTTACAAGTTACTTGCAAATTAAAAACAACTTCAAAAGTATTTGTAGTGGTAAGCAACAACTGCTTTTTTTAGCACTTCAATATAGCTTAGACAGTGTTTTTCAACTTTCCACTTACGTCAAAACTGATCTAAATCCTGGTGAATAGATTTGAGAGATTGGTCCCGTAATCTAAGCCTACAGAATACAAAATGTACAAAATAAATTTTGGTTTATATAATGAATAATCATCGTAGTTTAGCAAATTTTAACTTGAATAAACTACGATTCTTATTATAAGTTTATTTATCATGCAAGAATCCTCATTTTATGTCAATGAATTCAACAATATATTGCTCAACTATTTTTAACTTCAACAAATTTGTAGCCTCTAGATTTCTATAGCTTGTAGAGAACCTGTCTATATCTTTGACATAACAATTTTCCGAAAACAACCATGGACTATTTTATCAAAATCTCTAATTATCTTAATGTATTTAGTAGCAGGATTTCCAAGACTGGACTCCTGAAAAAGCAGCTCAAAGCTGTTTATGCTTTTAAGCAACATATTGGACGCATTGCTTTCCAAATGATGTTACTTTTGATTGGGGTACCCTAAAGATGTTTATTGTAGAAAGATATTGGTTGACAAACTGTAACACATTCCTTGTTTTCAAACAAATTTTTTCTTCAATTTTTTAAAAATTTGTTCCGCAACACCTAATAGCATATGTAGATCGGGAATATTTACAAGCTCTAATATTTTTAATTTTTGTCCTCTGTTAATAAAGGGGATTAAACAAAACTTGTATACTTTTTTCAATTTTGCATCATAAGATATCCATTGGTCTAATAATCTGCACAAGGATTCTAAAGAATAATGATCAGATTTTTGAAGATGTTAGGAGATGAGGTCGTGCAAAAACGACAAGGGTGTTTTGATGTTGCATATTTTTTTAGACAATTCGAAGCAAAACCTTTATATCTTCAGATATTGTTTAATATAAGGAAGAAATGTTTAATTTATCCAAAGTTATGTGAAAAAGTTGTATGTAATAAATTATTTACTTATTTATTTTTATTTACTCCTTGTAATATAGGGAATTTATAACCATTGAAAATTTTCCAATAAACTTGCTGTTTTCAGTGGAAGGAGAACAGAAAATATGGAAACTATATTCCAAACTTTTCCGTTCTCCTTCACTCTTCTGAAAATGTGCAACTTCATTTATCACACCCACACCCACCCCTAGAGTATAGTTTCTAAAAAGAATTTTTCAAAAAAATTTTTGTGTTTTATTAAACAAGATTGAAATTTATCGAAAAAAATAAACTTCATCAAAAACAAATTTGTCGTTTTAACGTTACGACCATTCAAAGTTGTTTCAGGGGGTAAATGAGTAGAATTTTAAACTTCTTTTGATCATAGATTTTAAACGAAAAAGTTTTTTTTATTGAAGTTGAAATTTGTTGATAAAATTTGATTTAATTTAAAATTAGGGCAGGTCGGGGTTGGGTCCTCATCTCAAAGTGGCTCAGAATTTACTTGTAATGAACAAAACTAAAAACTAACTAAATATGAGGTGCTTATTTACTAAACTTGGCATAATTATTATTATGAAGTCTGCGCTTCTTATGATAATGAATTTTAATATTTGGTTTCAATGATTAAAAAATAGTTTTGCACTATATTAAAAGTTCATATTTTGAAATAAAAATTATAAGGTGTAATCCTCACAAGATAATAAAACCAAAAAACTAAAACCAATTTTTCTTTATTTTTAAATAATTATTTAAACGTACGTTATTATAAAAATTATAAATTAAACGTTCGAAAAAATTACTAATACAGTTAACCTATAAGGGCCAAAGTAAATAAAAAACTAATTGAAAACTGCAGAATTCCAAAAATGTCTATTAAAAAATTCCACCAGCCTAATTTAAGAATTTATTCTTTGTTTTTAAGGAAACATTTCTTTGAATCTTCACGATTTACGGATTGCGTTAAGGATCCATGTTTCTACAATAAAAAAAGAAATTTTTGAATCCATATGCTAGTGTGTATATATATATATATATATATATATATATATATATATATATATATATATATATATATATATATATAGAACCAGTTTATGCCGAGTCTCCGATTCCGGGTACCCGGCTGAAAAAACCAGGTCCGAGTTCGGGTACTCGGCACCGAGTCCAATTTTTAAAAGTTGGAATAAAAACTTGTGAAAACTCTAGCGCTGAACTATTCACACAAAATACGCTTTTTACGCTAACTAACCAAAAGTTATGTGGCGGAAGTACCATTTAGCAAAACCCCTCAATGCAGGGTAAGGGGCCTGAGTTGTTGGGCCTAACTTTTTTCAAAAGTTATGTAACAGTTTTTTAATAACTGTATTTAGTGTAAAATTATTTTTCTTTCCTGGTGGGGCATGCCTAAATAATATTTTGTGGGGAAGGGGGCAAAATTTGAAGTTCCGCCATTGAAAGTTATATTATGGAAAGCGAAAGATTAAGAAAATTAAAGAATTGCAAAAAAAGGTAGACCTTCTCGACTTTAGAGTGATTAAAATAAAACAAATTTAAACAAATAAAAAGAACTTAAACAACACTTGCTGTATCTTATTTTTAATTGTTTTATTAACTTTAAATTGTAATGCACAAACATTAGGTATTCTCCGTTATCTGCTTTTAGTCTGCTCCTTGTTGCTTCGTATATGTCCCCACCAGCACTAAATAACTTTCACTTTCTATTGATGACGGAGGTGCTGTAAGATATTTTAATGCCATCTTTTTTAGCTTTTCAAATTGCAAATTCAAATCCACATTTACTCCACCACAAAAACGGACAACCTTTATTTTCTAAAGAGGCAGAGATAAATAGTTGTCTATTTTTTGAGTAATTGTAGACCTTAATATTGTTTGCTTCTTAATTATGTCAGTGGTAACAACTTCAATATCTACTAATTCTCTTTCTGCCTCGGAACATCTTTCACTCTGCTTTCTTCCGGTTCTCATAGAAGCTACATCTTTAAAACAATCATCAATGCTAATGAATCCATTAGATGCTGGAGCTTTTACTATTGGAGCATCATCGGAGTCAGAGTCAACAACATCTTGCGCTCCTTGCATTTCTTTCCATGCTTCTTCAATCCACTCCTTAATAACATTTTCATCTGCATGTTGATAAAATAATTTATATCGTGGATCCAAAAATGTTGATACACTTAACATTTTATTAAGCAAAAATTTATCAAGTCTTTTAGTAACAGATTTTATTAGTTCATCAATCATTGTCATAGCCCCAGCGTATATATCAATTGATGAAGTTTTTTGTAATAAAACTTTTAACGCAAGAACAGATGGTATAATTTGTGCACAAGTTTCGTCCCTCCTACCACATTTTTTTGTTAAGTTTTCAACTGGAGCAAGAGTGTGAACACGTTTTTCGACTATTACCCATTGATAATTAGTAGGAAGTTTAATTTCATCATATTCTGCTGCATAAGTGGCCAAAAGAATTTTTTGTTCAAAGTTCTTTGTAGCATTTCAAATGAACAGTTCCAGCGAGTTGGAACATCTTGTTTCATTTTGTAAGGTACAGTGCTTAACTGCTACTGAATTGATTTTAACTTTGCACATGCTATTGGCGAATGATTAAAATATGTTGTTATTCCTCTGCATAAAGTTAAAGTTTCCTTGATGGTTTCTTGGCTAAATATAGAGTCATGATTACATAGCTGCAAAGTATAGATAAAGCATGGAATTGATGACATTCCACTGTTTTTTACTGCAGCCTTCATATTGCTTGCATTATCGGTAACAATAAGATGAATTTTGCTTAACAGGATTTCAAAAGTTTCTAAACTCTTTTTGTAAATACCCTTTTATATGAACACCTGTGTGCTTTTCCGGAAAATGAATTACTCAAAGAACAGCAGTTTCTTGGAAAAATTTAGTTTGATCTATGCAAGGTCCAGTAATGCTTAAAAGTGCGATTTTTGTAGTATCCGCTGTCCAAATATCTGTCGTCAGAGACAAACAGTTTGCCGCGGAGATTTTTACTTTTATATCTTTAAACAGTTCATCATACATTCTAGGGATTACGTTTTGGCTGAAATATGTTCAACGTGGTAATTTGTAATTGGGGTAAGCATCTTTAATCAGTTCATTAAACCCCGTATCTTCAACAATAGAAAATGGCTTAATATCCAATGTGATAAGTTTTCCTATTATTTTATGGATTCGAATAGATCTGTGGTCATCAATATTTCACTGTTGTTGTTTCTTGTGTGTAAAGCCTGAATAATGTTACTTTGTACTGTATTGGTGGTAGAAGCAACTGAGGCTTCAGAAAAAAACGCAAATGTTTTACCATTGCTGCAGTTCCATATGACTTGAACGATTTTCCTCCTCTCGTTACTAAACTATCACATAGTTTGCACTTACTCATATGAGGAGTCGTGCTTATATCAAAGAAGTTCCACGCTATACTTTTTTTTGTCAAAATTTTTTCAAATAAAATTTCTATAAAGATAGTAAAGTTTTTGTTTATTTTATATAAAACGATAATTTTTTTAATAATACGCTCGAAATTAAAAGAAGAAATATGTGTATAATATTTACCTTATATCTCTACTTTTATGATTTTTGCTTGATACGAATGAAAAGTGCCATCAGCGTTCGAAAGCATTATAAGCGTTTTATTCAAAACTAAATAGCTAAAAATTATCTTGTGTTCGAACAGAATAAAAAGAAGCTCTTATAAAACTTTTTTCCCATTCTTTTTATTCGTATACTTGAATTATTTCATTTAGCGTTACAGTTTTTGTATCCGTATAAATTTTTTTGCAAAAATGTAATAAAAAATATTTTAAGTGAGATTGTTTTAAGTTGATAGAACTTTATGGTTATCGACTACATAGCACTCTTAGACTTATATCAAGAAGGTTAATGGTTAAAGTTTAAACTAAAGGAAAAATCAATTTAAAGATACCCGGTGCCAGGTACTGCAACAAAATGGCCGATACCGGGTACCCGGTAAAACAGCCTAAGGATTTCAGGATGGGCTAAAAAATGAAGTTTTAACAAATCAAAAAGTTATATCCTTCTAATTCATGGCTTTTGATTAAGGTGCAGTGATAACATTAAAAAAAAAATTTTTTTTGAAATTTAATTTGCCTGGGTGTGTAAAAGTTGTCTATTCATATCAGAAATACTCTGTAAAAATTTCAATACTCTAGAAAATTATCTTGACGTGCCCCAAGGACATTGAAACCCCCCAAAATCTCCAAAAAGTGACCTACGGAAAAAAAATTTTGTTTGATTGAAACTCATTTTGCCTGGGTGTGCAAAAGTTGTCTATTCATATCAGAAATACTCTGTAACAATTGCAATGCTCTGGTAAATTATCTTGAGGTGCCACAAGAACTTTGAAATCCCCCAAAATCCCTAAAAAGTTAGAAATTAAAATTTTTATTAAATTCATATTTTCACAAAAAAATCAATGGCTAAAAATAAACTGATCTTGTTTTTCGATTTCTATTATAATAAACCTGTATGATGGTTTTAACATCATATCAGAACCTAATGAAATTATATTTATGTAAATTTTAGAACTTTGAGGTGCCACAAAAATTAAGAATAACAATTATTTTAAACAAAATTAAGTAAGTCTGGTTCAAGTTTATATTCTGTTAGTTAATCATTTCAAGAACGTCATTTTGAAAGGCTGAAATCAGATTTTGTGTTAAAGACTTTCATAGCTGATTGCAACTCTATTCTTGCACTAATAAAGCCATCACGCTGAAGTTTACAGACTGCCATACTGGCTTCAGTGACTAGTTTCACGCCTCTTTCTACAGACTGAGTGTGGCATGGAAAGCTTTTAAATTGTAGCATTTCTGAGGTCAGAGTGCTGTTTTTAAGTTGAATCAATTCAATTGATCTGAACATTGGAGGTTCAGCACTTTTATTTGATGACCAGTTGATTATGTCTGTATAATCTGTTGCTTCAAAGTTTAGCGGTGGTATCTTGAACAATCTAACTGGTTTAGCATCGGTCTTGTCGGATATCGATCTTGCTGCCAATACACGTCTTATTGCTAATTGACGAATATGGGGCCTTTCATCGGTTACCAATGATAATAATAAGTTTTCTGGGTGAGCAAAGTATGCATTTATTTTGGATTACAGGATCAACAATTTTCTTGAGCTCGATAGGTAAGTATCTGGTATAATGCACCATTCGAAAGAGATGGCAACTGCCATCCGTAGAGGAATGCTTAGACTTCACTTCAAACCAAATAGGTGCATATACATTTGTATGTAAGTTACAAGAATGATCAAGTTTTTGTCTGGCTTTTCTGTAGATACATATAACCGGAGGATATGACTAGCAGTTGTTATCCATCGAGAATGACACATAGGTCCCGGTTTTCGATTACCCAATTCAAAACTACTTTGGCTACTGGATATTGCTTGACACATTTCATCTGCATCAATGCTGGACAACACATTTCCTTCGATTAGTTGAAAACTAACAATTGGCAAGTCCATTTTCTTCAATAATTTTTGATTGGAACATTAAATGAATTTGGCCCATGAGTTCCATCCATCCAGGTTAATCAGGAGATGTCTCAATGGTAACTCATTCATATGTAATAAATATACAAACCAGTGTAGAGATTTGTCGAAACGAAGTTCGAGAAGTCGAATAACACCACCAATATTACCTGTGTTGACATTCGTGCCATCACATCCGATTGCCACCAATGAACTGGTATCAATAGCATTTGCATTCAAAAATGATATAATATTCTATTTAAAGTTTTCCAAACATCTATACAATAAGTGGTTTTCCCTTATCAATTAAAATTTGCCAAAGTTATCCCGATTTATAAAGAAGAAGAAAAATTCAACTTAAATAATTATCGCCCTATTTCTATCCTACCTACGTTTTCAAAAATATTAGAAAAAATTTTCTTCGAAAAAACATACAACTACCTG